TCCCTGGGCTCCTCGTCTGCTCCCGCCTCCTCCGCCGGCTCCTCGTCTGCTCCCGCCCCCTCCCTGGGCTCCTCGTCTGCTCCCGCCTCCTCCCTGGGCTCCTCGTCTGCTCCCGCCTCCTCCCTGGGCTCCTCGTCTGCTCCCGCCTCCTCCCTGGGCTCCTCGTCTGCTCCCGCCTCCTCCCTGAGCTCCACGTCTGCCTCCACCTCCTCCTGGGGCTCGACAGCTGCTCCTGTGAGGTTTCACCCTGGGTGGTTCCCTGGTCGTCCTCCTGGACTATTGCCCGATGGGGGATGATTTTTTCTGTTTCCCAGAGTCTTCCGTGTTTTTGTCCTTGAGTTTGTTTTGTCCTGTCACACCCTGTTCCGTACTCTCTCCTTGTTTATCGTTGGGAGACGATCATTAAGGGGGGGGGGGGTACTGTCATGGTTTGTTTGTTTTCACATTAGTTTTCCTAGTGTTTCTGTTTCCGCAGTGTGTCACAGCTCAGCTGCTCCCGATTTGTCTGATTGTCACCCTCGTGTAGTAGTCAGTGTATTTAAGTCCTGTCTCGTCTCAGTCTTGTGTCGGTTCATTGTGCTTTGTCCCCTGCCTTTGTGATCTCCGTGGTTTTTGTAAGTTGAGCTGTCCTTACAGCAGTTTTTGTTACCCTTTAATAAATTTTTGTTATACTTTTTGAGCCTGCCTGCACCCTGGATTTGTTCCTGCCAGTTTCCCTCAAAAACCACCTCAAGCGAGCATAAAACCTTTTTAGCGAATTGAGGATTTTTTTCGAGTTTTGCTGTTTCCATCTGACTTTTTTCGCATTTTTAATGCGACACTTATCAATGTGCATCAAAAAGCCTTAATGGAAACACGGTTATAGTCACTCCAGTGTGTCCTGGGTCTTCCTCTGGGCCTCCTCCCAGTGGAACATGCTGGAACACCTCACCAGGGATGCGTCCAGGAGGCATCCTAACCAGACGAACCACCTCAACTGGCTCCTCTTGACATGGAGGAGCAGCAGCTCTACTCTGAGTCTCTCCTGGATGACTGAGCTTCACACCCTTTCTCTAAGAGAGAGCCCAGACACCCTGTGAAGGAAACTCATTTCAGCCACTTGTATCAGCGATCTCGTTCTTTCGTTCACTACCCAAAGCTCATGACCATAGATGAGGGTAGGAGAGGTTTGAGTGTCCCAATGATCCTAGGATCTATGTTGTTGGAGGCTTCATGCTCCTGGTAGGGTCACCCAAGGCAAACGTAACCTAAGTCCATAAAAAAAGGTAACCTAAGTGATGGATCATACAAAGTGCAGCCCAGAAATGCTTTATGAATGGCAACATTGGACTGAGTGTTCCCTCGCCTGGACACAGGTCACCTGGGGCCCCACAGTGGAGCCAGGCCTGGAGGTGGGGCTCGTTGGTGAGCGCCTGGTGGCGGGGCTTTTGCCCATGGAGCCTGGCCGGGCACAGCCCAAAGAGGAGATGTGGGTCCCCCTTCCCATGGGCTCACCACCTATGGGAGGAGCTGATGGGGTCGGGTGCATTGTATGAAGGGCAGTGGTCAAAGGCGAGGACCTTGGTGGTCTGATCCTTGGCTACAGAAGCTGGCATTTGAAGTCAACAAATTATAATTAGATTTTCACATTTTTTTTATTTTAGACATTGTTTTAAATTCTAAATAAAGTGTCTATTCTTGGCACTTGACACATAAGCATCATATCTCCAGCCTTTTGTAGAACTTTTTGGGCTTTCCCGCAGCGTTCCTCTTCTTCCCCCTGCCAGTTTTTTTATCTCTCTGGGGGTCAGCGTCTCTTCCTCAGCAGGGAGAAGCCAACTCATGAAGAAATACGAACCCAGTTTGACAGATCCACTAGAATTCTGCCCCAGTTAAATACTTTTCACCAACACTCCTGAATACTGCTGATAGATTTTATTTACTTCTAATAATCTACTCATCTATTAGTTGTATAAAAATCCATAGTGTGTATGATTTCTGTTTTTCAACTTTTCAGTAAAAAAAAAAGTAAATAAAGAGCTTTTAGTCTAATATTAAACTAACAAATGCACATATTAGATTTTCTGCTACATCATTAGGCAGGATGTTCCCACTTTTGGCAGTATTACATAGAAGAGGTAAAAATAAGGAAGTCCTTGAAACTTGTTTTGTTAGATAAAGCACATTTCATCCTCAACAACAACAATAGACTTACAATAAAAGCCAAAGTAATACCATGTACTGTAAATATATGGCTACATTCAAAACAAGTCATGTAAAACATAAAATATCAGTAAATACAAGAAGATGACAATCTGTCAGTGGTCAGGTACATACACAACAACACTTGTCTCGTCTGAATTAGAAACAGAAAACTAAAATTTTCATCCAGTGGCCTCACTCCTTTAAGGTTTACCAAAATGAAGAGCAACCCATTGCTTTCTGGATAAGTTGAGCATCATCTTCCTAATAAGAGACAATTTCTTCCAAACTGGTGAAAAAATGTGAAACAATGCATCAAATAGCCACAGCAATATGACCACTACATGTTTTTGCTAAGAAGATCCATATTCAAAATTCCATCTAATTTTTGCTTTATCAAAACAAATCTTCTTGAAGCTTTTTTTCTTTTGTCATTATGTGTACATTTGTTTGTTTTTTATTATATTTCTTCTTTTAGTTTTTAATCAGAAAGTGTCAGAAAAAATATTAGATTAAGGGGGGAAAAAATTGAAAAGGTCCTCTGGACGGGTTCTTCTTTAATGAAACGTTTCGTCTCTCTTCCAAAAGACTTCTTCAGTCTGA